GACAGAGCAAGATCTTTAATATTACCTTCAAATATTATTCCATATTAACTTAACTAAACTTTAAGTAAAAGAGATTACCTATCTAGAAACAGTCACGAGTTAAATTCATGAACAAAATTCAAACGGATAGAGATGTCAACTTAATAATCAATAATAATAATAATAAATTTTTAAAAAATAAATAAGATTACTAGCAGTAAACTTATATTTTAAAATAAAATGTTATTCTTTTAATGTACTTTCTATGAATATTTTTTTCTAATCGACTATTTCATAGAAAATCCCCAAAAAAAAAAAAAATTTAAATCACTAACAAACATCAAATTAAATTCTTTGTAGACAGTTTAGACATTCAAATTTATATCAAAAACATTATAATCTTTATGAACCCCCAAAATAACACTTTCAAAAGTAAAACAAAATAACAGCGTATTTTCGAGCCTTTTTTTTTCAAAAGAAAATTAGTGACACCTTCTCTCATGAGTTCCTTCTCTCTTTTTTTTTTTTTTTTATTTTTTTGAAAATATACCCATTCTATATCAATATATAACTTCCGTTAAGTTAACCGTTTAAATGTGTCAAAATGTCTGGACCTCCTCAAGTAATTTTAAGTATGAAAGAATAGAAATATTAAATTACATCTAACTCACTCATGTCTTTCTCTCCCCCCCTCACTTCCTCACTTACATTAATTTACATATATCTTAATACGGCCCGTCAAAAATGTAAAAATTTTTTTTAAATTTTTTCGTTTCAACCTTTGGAAGTAAAGTCTGATGATCCGCAGTCCTTTAAAAGGGCTGTGGTGAAATAATTTATTACATGGAACCTTAAAGTGGTCTGTTTTTATTTAAATTATTTGCTCTGGATTTACATTGAGCTCTCTGGATTTTATCCTCCTTGGGTTTACCCATACGGATTACCTAGTTTTTCATAAACTATATATATATATATATATATATATATATATATATATATATATATATATATATATATATATATATATATATATATATATATAAATATATTATATATATTTGTTTATATTATTAATATATATATATATATATACATATATATTCAATAAAAAAAGAAATGCAAAATTTAATGATTTAAATTTCAAAATCCATCATAAAACAATTCAAATAATATACAAAAACCTTTATCCATTATGAATGAAAATGATCCTTGTTTATATAAATTTTAAATTAGTTATTATTTTTTATTTTTATTACAAGCTTTATTCTGTTCCTAGAACATTTAAAAGGTATAGAATAGATGTTTTAAATTTATTTTTTTAATTCTTATTTAAGAAATTGAGGACAACGAAAAATATATAACTTATTATCCGAAATAAAAAATTGCGAAACATTACTGTAATTATTGAACAATATAGTTCATGCCACTTTTGATTAAAAAAATTTACCAGTAAAAAATTTGTTCATCACCATATTTTATATGAACGCACAATTTTAAAAAAAATTTAAAATCAAACTCAGCGTTGCTTTTGCGCGTTCAAAAACAATAACTCATTTTCAATAGCATTTTCGGATACAACAATACATATATTTTCGTTGTCCTCTTATTACTAAGAGAAAAAAACAAGAACAACATCTATTCTATACCTGAAGATGTCTGTCTGTAGGAACAGACGAAAGCTTGTAGTAAAAAAATAAGAACTAATACGGCAGAAATTTATATAAACAAGGATCTTTTCATTCATAACGGATTCGGAGGTTTTGTATATTATTTGAATTGTTTGCGATGATGGATGTCTCGCCATTTAAATCATTAACCTTTGCATTTGTTTTTTGTGTGAATAATTCATGTATTTATATATATATATATATATTATATATATATATATATATATATATATATATATATATATATATATATATATATATATATATATATAAATATTTATCTATTTATTTTGGATTTAAATAAAACCATTTGATTGACCGCATAGATTTATATTGAAAATGATTAAAATTAATTTAAATGAAAAAGGATGAAAATAATATAAAATTTGATTTTTTTAAATGTATTAAATTAAATGTCAAATATTTATACAATATATATAACGCTTTTTTTTCCCATTTTTTAATATAAAATAACATAAACTCAAAAAATAAATGTTTTATAATTACAAAAGCAATAGAGACTTCCATTTCTCTTGTGATTTATTTTTAAAAATTTTTAAAATATTTGGCTAAATTTAAAGCAATTTATAATTCCGATCTCATGGTTGTACAATTTAAAAAATTGAAAAAAATAATTTAAAATAATAAAATACATAATTTTTATACATTAAAATAATTTATACAATATATATATATATATATATATATATATATATAATATATATATATTTGGAAATTAAATAATTTAATTATATAAATAAAATATTTTCATTCAAATTTTTTTATTTTCTCATATACTTTTCAGAATGATTGGTGATTTGATTGAAAATTATGTAAAATTGTTTATTAGAGCGAAAAAATTGGATTGATTTGATTTTTTTTAAAACCTTTATTAACATTCAACACCATAAGATTGAAAAGATTTGTTGTTTTTTGTTGCAACAAAAAAATTTTTTTTGAATGATTTTATCACATTTTATGTTATAATTTGAAAAATAATATATATATATATATATATATATATATATATATATATATATATATATATATATATATATTTGGATGCAATATAAAAAAATTTAAATTATTGGAAAAAAAAAATCATATAAATAATCATACAATGAAAAAATTAAAAAAACAAACTAAAATGAAAATGCTGATTATATTAATATTAATGTTTTAATCGCATATTAAAAATAGACTTTATTTTTGAGCAAAAAAAAAGATATTTTAAAGATCTATATCCATATAAAAAATAGGCATAAATAATTATATATTTATTAAATTTATTTATATTTATATAAAAAACATATATATATATTTATATATATATATATATATATATATATATACATATATAAATATATCTGCAAGATTCAAATTTGAATTAAAAATTCATAAATATAAATATTAAATTTTGTATAATTAATTTTTTAATTTTGAAATTTTTTTTTTTAAAAATTTTGCATCAATTTTTATTTTAGAACATTTTAAACCGTTCTATATATAAATATAATTTCATGGTTTCATATTTGAAATTTCTGCTGAATATAATTCTTCAGTTAATGATTGATTGAATAACCTGGAATGTTCAAAGTTCTATGACAATAAAATGAAACCGTTTAAAGAAATTTTTATGCCTTCTTTAAAATAAATAAATTATTTAAAATTTTTTAAAATCATATTTGTAATCAATCATTTATCTGGTCGTTATTTTGAAAGTTAACTGGGGGCAAATAAAAAGATTTGAAAATGACAATTAAATTTTCATTAAAACAGACGTTAAACTTTATCTTTCCTTCTTTCTTTCATTTTTTCTCATTGAATATATATTGCTTTATATTTTGATATGTCTTTTTGTCTTATTTTCGATCAAAACGGAATAGTCCATTATTTATGAGGTGTTTAATCGGAGAAGTTAAATATTCAGTTTTTTATATTTATTTCTTTCTTTCTTTATTTATTTCAAAAAAAAAATTTTTAATCGTCTTTGATATAAACATAATATTCCATTCTTTATAAAAGGTTTCAAAATTAACGTTAATACCAAATTTATTTTTTTTCTTTCTTTATTTCTTTCTTTGAAACCAAGTAGCGTTTTTCAAATCACAAAAACGGAAATTTAACCAAAATTAAAAATAGGTTTTATCATTTTACGTTAAAATGTTCAAATTATTTATTTATTTATTTATATATATAAATATATAGGGAATACATCTTTGAACAAACGGAATAGTCCATTATTTATTAGGTGTTACAGGAGACGTTAAACCATTAAATATATCTTTCAAATGAAACCAAAATAAGCGTCTTTGATCAAATCTGGAAAAGTTTATTCCTTTGACATTGTTACAGGAGATGTTATTTATTTCTTTGAAAAGTTTTTTCTTATTTAAAAAAAAATGGATTTAAAAATTTATTAAATATTTTTTAATTATTTTAAATAATGTTTCCATTATTAAAAAGGTTTATTATTTAGTCATTAAACATTTCTATGTTAAATATATATTTATTTCTTTAAACCAAGTAGCGTTAATTTCTGTCTTTATAATTTTGTTCTTTTAAATTAAATAATATTGTCTTATTTTTTTGCCTCATCTTCTCTAAAAACTTGGGAAAAAAAAAAAAAAAAAAATTAAAAGTTTAATTCTTGGGAAAAAAATACCAATACATAATTAAATCTTAAATATAAGAATGGGAAGAATATTGAAATAATCCAGCCATATGTACATGGCATAGCCGGTCTTAGTTTTAAAGGTCAGAGTTGGTGAAGTAAAGGAATGTAGACCATCGGAATATATGTCATAGAAATTAGACAGAGAATCAAAAAGTTTTTTCAAACAAGAAAATTTTTTTTTTTGGAAATTATTCATATACACAAGAAATATATGTTATCAATGCTTTTTAATTCTATCAAGACAGGTAATAATATAAAAGATTTAATTTTTTCATTTTCAAATATCTTTCTTGAATACAAAACAAAAAAAATTGAAAGAAGTCTTGTATAAAAATTTTGTGAACTAAAAACAAAGGATACAAATTTAACAAAATATCTTATTGTAAATAAATTCCAAAATAACATTATTATATTTTTTAAACGGAAATATGTTCTATCATTTTTATCTAATGATATTTTAATATATATATTTTTAATAAAAATTTATATTTATTATCTGTAAAACATATTATCCATACTATTAAAACAATCTTAAAATATTGTCCTTATCTTTGTCGCCAAATTCTTTATTACAACGTTTTAGAACGAAAAAACGTCCTGTTTCTGATAGACAACACAGTGAATAAACTGTTATATTTCAAGATTCAGTGACAGGACCCAAAATGTGAGTTCAATATTTGGTTAAGGCAGTGGAGAACTTGGAGATTAAATTAACAGGAGATAACTGATAATTGACATCCATTAAAACATGGCACGTTTTTAAGAGTACAAAGAAAGTGAATGAAATAAAGGGTTAGAAATCATTCCAAATTTGAAAAAGGATTTTCTCAAATAAAAAACGTTGTAATAAAAAATATATGGCGACACAGATACATAATAGTCTGAATAATATATAAATAGTGCTCAAACGTTTGTTGAAAATATCGCTAACAAATTTTTATAAATTTACAAATTAAAAAAAATTTCAAGGAAAAATGTTTTAATCGATGAAATTTTAATAAGGTGATGTGTTTGGAAAAATACTTTGACAAAAAACGATGAATGTTTAATAATTTATTTAATTTAATTTAATTTTGCAGAACTTCATGGTAACAAATTCCAAAAGAAAGTATTTTTTTTTAATCCAAAAAATAAAGTCTTACGATTTCTTAAGAAAGCATCAACATTGAACTTCCATGCTTAAATATTTTTAAAACAAACAAATTAAACTTTGTGTGAAAAAAAACCTACCAATTGGCTGTGAAATGAAAAAAATTTAAGTTCTTATAGAATTTAATTAAAAACAAAATTGAATTCCAATATCTATCAAATCTTCCTGAAAAGATATGCAAAAACGATATTACATTTTTATTAAATAAATATCTGTTATTTTAATCATTAAATAGCTTTTAAAATAGTGGGAATATTTTGTATGTTAAATAAAACTGTGCCCCCTTATCTGTTTGCAATTCCCCCCAAAATCTTGTTTTAATCGGTCAATGTATGGCTACTTTAAAGAGTGTAACAGACGGGCGGACTAACAGAAATCACAGAATTTTATATATAGATAAAAGATCATATACTGTTGGTCGACTCGTGTGTCGCCGATAAACGAATGCCGACCTGCGCGACCTGTTCGTGAAACATGTTTCCATCGCGAGGCCTACTTCTGTATCATATTAATTCGATGGAAGCGTCGTATTTACTTTCGTTGTGGGCTTACAGGGAAGTCAATAACCGCAGCTGATGCAGTTCACGCCGATAAGTAAAGGCGTTACTATGAGAGACTATTATTTAGCCGATATGTGTAAGCGGCTCGATGTCGCAAACTGTGTTTGCATTGGACAGAACTGTTTAGAACGTTGTCAAAAAGTTGTCAGACTGAAGGGAATTTAAATAAGGAAAAAAGAAAAAGTTAAATATAACGACAAATGTTTATCTAGTTCAAATAACATGAAAGAATGAAGGAAATATATATATAATATATATATATATATATATATCAAAGTGAACACTAATTTAAAGAAAAGAGGAAAAGTCTGTTTTGATGCTAGACGCAATTGTCAGACCACTCGTGGCCTGAAGATTGACTGTCGCCTCTAAGTGTTGACTTCAATGTTCAAATTTATATTCACACACGCTCTATCTCTGATATTGAGCACTTTATCCCATAAATATAGCACACCTTAAGACTATATTTCTAAATATATATATATATATGTGTGTGTGTGTGTGTGTGTGTGTGTGTGTGTGTACTGTATGTGTATGTAAATATATATATATATATATATATATATAAAGAAAGAAAAAAAAAAAGAAAGAAAAAGGAAAAAGGAAAGAAAAAAAGGTGACAAAAAAAGAAAAAGTAAATAAGAAAAAAGAAAGGTGAAAACAAAATAAAGAACAATTTTATAAAAAGGAATAAGAAAAAAAAAGAAAGAAAAGCAAAAGAAAGAAAAGCAAAAAAAAAAAAAAAAAAGAAAAGAAAGAAAGAAAAAAAAGAAAGAAAGGATAAAAAAGAAGAAAGAAAGGGAAAGAAAGAAGAAAAAAAGAAAGAAAAAGAAAAAAGAAAGAAAGAATAAAAAGGAAAAGGAAAAAAAGAAAAAAAAGAAAGGAAAAAAAAGAAAGAAAGAAAGGGAAAAGAAAGAAAGAAAAAAAGAAAGAGAAACTTAAAGACAGAAATGAATAAAAAGTAAAGAAAAAATGGACAAAACAATTGTTTTCATTTGCAAAACTTTAACTCGATTGCCAACGCAAAAAATGTTCCAATTTAATTTGACATTTACGTTTTCTGATTGGAAGCAAAAACATCGAAGACAGACATGAAAAGCATCGTTGTGTATTTATTGTCTAAATAGTTGCACCAGGATTATATAAGACTGCCATCTATTTATTTGCAAGAAATAGATTGCCAAAAAAAAAAGGAGACATTGGCAAAAGAAGTCTTGAATTCTGTCCAACCCACAGCAGATTAAACAGCGCCTGATTTCTAATCATACGAAAACTATAATTGAAGAATTGTTTCCCGACACCCAAGAAAAAAAGACTCCTATACTTAGTTGTAATCAAAGATGAATTCTAACAGAATTACAAGAGGTATCTCAGTTGATATGAGCGCTTACCCTTGGAACACACATATTACTTTTTCTCATTACTACGAGTTTAAATTTTTTTTTTTTATCGAAATCACCCTAAGCAAGGAAGTAATGCCACTAAAACACAAGAGCTTACAGGATATGGAAGAATTACGGACAGAAACATTAGCAGAAAGAAAAGAGAGAAATCAGGAATACATTGTATTGAAATTTTTGCGGATTAAAGTTGGCTGGAAAGCATGGGGCCGGAAGGGAGTTCCACAAGCGAGATAAAAAAAAGAACTGTTAGCATAAAATTTACGGCTGCATCTAGCCATTTCAATTTTAAAGATCTCGACGCCAATCTAGTATACTGCTCTTAAATTTAAAAAAAAATCTAGACACCATAGCGAAGGTTACAAATAGTTGCGGTATTAAAAGAAGTCTTTTAATAAATTTGGTTGGCTTATTTTGTTTAGTGGCATATCAACACCTCTATGGGTTATTTAATGCCGAAATATAAATATTTTGATTGGTTTGGTCGGATGGTTTTCTTTAGCGGCATATCAACACCTCTATGGGTTATTTAATGCCAAAATCTAAATGTTTTGATTGGTTTGGTCGGCTGGTTTTCTTTAGCGGCATATCAACACCTCTATGGGTTATTTAATGACGAAATCTAAATATTTTGATTTGTTTGTTGATTGATTTTCTTTAGCGGCATATCAACACCCTTATGGGTTATTTAATGCCGAAATCTAAATATTTTGATTGGTTTGGTTGAATGATTTTCTTTAGCGGCATATCAACACCTCTATGGGTTATTTAATGCCGAAATCTAAATATTTTGATTGGTTTGTTCGGCTGATTTTCTTTAGCGGCATATCAACCCCTCTATGGGTTATTTAATGCCAAAATCTAAATATTTTTAACATAATTTTATGGCTTCAACTTAATATATTTTGGACGAAATTGTATGCCATCAACTACAGAAAATGTATTGGTATTTTTTAGATAAACATGTATTGCTGGTATTTTTAGTATAAAAATGTATTTTTATATTTTCCTAGTTTTTTTTTTTCTTGTTGCTGGGTGTCACTATTTGCCCATAGCTGGAACCCTAACAGGTGCTACCACTCCGGATCAGGATCAGTATAACTGCAATTCAGCGGTTATACCACGTTCCTCAAAACCGGTAATCTCCGGATTAGTGGCCATGCTGCCAGATGTAGTTGTTTTTTAATATGAGACAAACCGTCGTTTAAGTTCTATTACCGTATTTTGAATTCTTTGTTGACAAAGCTACATGGGTGACTATTGGATAAAACCCGTCATGCCTGAGATGAGATGGTTAAAAGCTGAAACCGAAGATTTTATTCTTCCTGCACAGGAAGAATAAAATCTTGCTAACTGAAAATTACCAAGCACACACACTGAAAAACTGTGTTAGCCCAAAATGCACATTCTGTGAGGAATATCCAGAAACACTTGACCATCTTGTATCGTGTAGCACTGGAATAACAGAATAATAAATAAAATCTATCTATCTATCTGATAACACAATAGATTTTTCTATCTATTTTTGTCTTTCTATCTATCTGATAACAGAATAAATCTATATATCTATATATATATTCTGCTCATTTATCTTTATCGCTTCATAATCTGATAACAATAAAAAAAAATTGTGTTCACCCCAAATGTAGATTCTGTGATGAATATCCAGAAACACTTGATCATCTTGTATCGGATTGCACGGTATTGATACCCACTGAATATAAAACTAAAAACGTCCGTATGTACCAAGATCCAAAGGAGGTAGAGGATTAGTTCAACTAGAACTGTCTTAAAAAACTACAACAATCGGTTTTCAAAGATACCTAGAAACTACATAAGACTGGATGATGATCTGTGTCAAAGAACATGAAAGAAATAAGGAACTTTATTTAGTAATAAAGGAAGCCAACAAATTCAAAAGGGAATTTCAAATGAACAAAGAAGGGTAAATAAACCATAATACACCTGCTGCAGCGTTAAAAACCTGAAAGCAAATTCAATGGACCAAATGTTAGAAATTATGGCAATATAAACCTCTTCATGGTCAATAATCTGCCCGTATCAAAGAATCTGATGTAGGCAAACACCGTACGCAACAGTTGTTAAGAGGTGCGGGATTAAAAGCTTAAACGGAAGGTTTTTATTCTTGTTTAATATGACAAATGCTTGCTAATTAGAAATTGCCAAGCAGACATACTGAAAAATTGTGTTCAACCCAAATGTAGATTCTGTGATGAATATCCAGAAACAATTGACCATCTTGTATCGGGTTGCACGGCATTGATACCCACTGAATATAAAACTAAACGTAACAGGGTGGGCCAATATCTGCACTGGGAACCTGCAACTTTTATGGGAAGGAAACCCCCTAAAATTGGTATAAACACTACCCAGACCTAATTACAGAGAGAGAGAGGAGAGAGAGAGAGAGAGAGAGAGAGAGAGAGAGAGTGAAGAGAGCAATGGAACGAGAGAGAGATAGAAAGAGATGAGAGTGGAAAGAGAGAAAAAGAAAGGTTACAATGGAAAAAGAGAAATGAAATGAAAAAGAGAGAGATTCAAGAACCTATCGAAATTTTAAGGACAAACAAAACAAAAAGAAAGAGAGAGAAGAGAGCAATGGAATGGAATTGTAAGGGAAGAGGAGAGAGTGAAAAAAGAAAGAAAGGGAACAATGGAAGAGAGAGAAATGATTTGAAAAGAGAGAGAGAGAAAAAAGAGCAAGAGAACGAGAGAAAAAGAGAAATGGGAAAAAGAGAGAGAGAAAGATGGAAGGAAAAAGAGAGAGAGAGAAAGAAAGAAAAAAAAAGGAAAAGAAAGAAAAAAGAAATGAAAGAAGAGAAAAGAAAGAAAGCAATAGAACGAAAGAGAAAATAGAAATGGGAAAGAAAGAAAAAAATTTTTTTGAAAAGATAAAGAGAGAAAGAAAGAAAGAATAAAGAAAAAAATGAATGAAAAGAAAAATAGAGAGAAAAGAAAAAAAAGGAACGAAGAAGAAAAAAAATGGAAGAAAGAAAAAGGAAAAATGAGAAAAGGAAAAAAAAAATGAAAAAAAAAAAAAAATTTAAAATATCAAAGAAAGAGAAGAAAATTGGAAGAGAAAGAAAGAAAAGAAATAAAAAAAAAAAAGAAAATGGAGAAAAAGACTTTAAAGAAAAGAAGGAAGGATTTTTTTCAAACTTTGAAAAAAAAAAGAAAAAAATTTTTTTGAAAAATGAAGAAGAATGAGAAATAAAAAAGAAATGAACGAGAAAGAAAATTTGGAAAAAGAGAATGAAAGAGAAAAAGAAAAATGAAAGGAGAAAGAAAAAAAAAAAAAGGGAAAAAAAAAAAAATGGTGGAAAAAGAAAAAAAAAAAAAGAAAACTTTGAAATAGAAAAAAAAAGAAATTTTAAAATGGAGAAAAATTTCTTTTAAGAGGATTTATTTTGGAAATAGAAAAAAAAAAGAAAAGAAAAAAGAAAAAGGAATAAAGGAAAGAATGGAGAAAAAAAAAGAGAGAGAAAGAAAAAAAAGAAGAAAAAAAGAAAGAAATAAAGAAAAAAAGAGAGAAGAAAAAAATGAAACGGGAGAGAGAAAAAAGAAGAAAAAGTGAAAAAACAAAAAAAGAAAAAAGAACGAAAAGAGAATGAAGAAAGAAAAAAAAAAAAAAGAAAAAAAGATGGGAAAAAAAAAGAAAAAGAAAAAAAAAAAAAAAAAAAAAAAAAAAAAATAATGAATAAAAAAATATAAAATCAAAGTTGAAACGACCAAATAAAAATAAAACTTGCAAATAAGGAAAAATGAAGAATAATTAGAAATTAAATGATATATTTTGAAAAATTGAAAAAAAAAATAAAGAAAAATGAAAAAGATCCAGAAACAATTGAAAAATTTAAAAAAATTTTTATTTAAAAAAAGAAATATAAATTTTAAAATCTATTTATTGATTATCTATTCTGATGAAAGTTAAAAAAAGAAAAAAATCTTCCTGAATAAAATATTTAAATCTATTATCTGACAACAAAATAAAAAAATCTATCTAACTAAATCTATCAAAGAATAAAAAAAATCTGAAAGAATTATATTGAATTAAATGTAAAATTATCTATGAAATATTATTAAAAAAAAATAATAGATTTTTTATGTTAATTTTTTTAAAGGAAACAGTGATAGATTTCTATCTATTATATTAGATAAAATCTGAAAGAAAAAAAATTTTTATAATTTTAAAAATCTATTTGATAATTAAGAAAAATATCTATCTATCTAAAATCTACAAATCACAAAAAATATTTTTTCAGCTTTTTCAAATATTAAAATAGATATGTAAAAAGAATTTATATATTTGAGAAAAATCTATTTGATAACATTTCTATCTATCTAAACCCAAAAATCTATCTGATAATTATTTATCTGAATGAAAAGAAAGAAAAAATTAATGAAAAAAAACTAGAAGAAATTATCTATCTATTTTGAATTTCGAGAAATTATTATATTATATAAATAGGAAAATAATTGATAAAAAATAAATGAAAAAATATGAAATAAAACATTTTTAAAATTTCGTATTCGATAAATATTAAAATATTAAATTACTATATATTGTTAAAAAAAGAAATTTATTTAAATATTTATAGAAATAAATTGATTTAAAAAGGAGCCCTGGAAAAAAAATTATTTTTTCATGGAAAATATCTATCCGGAGACAAAAAAAATAAATCCGTTGAAAAACATCGAAAAATTGAAAGAACGAGAGAAAGAATAAAACAAATTTTTGAAATTGAAAAGAAAAATTAGAAAATGATTAAATATAAAAAAAAAAAAAATTAAACGGATTTTTATAAGTGAAAAATCAAATTTCGAAGTGAAAAATCGAAGAATTTTCAAAATATTTAACAAAAAACGGTTATTTAAAAAAATTTTTTATATGCATAAAAAAAATTTTTTAAAAATTTCAAAGTTAATTTAATTTCATTTCTTTTAGTGAAATTTTCCGATTTCCGAAGAAGACATATTGAAATTTAAAAAAAAATACAAAATTTTTTAAATGAAATTATTAAGGGAATGTTAAGATGGGAAAAAAAAGAGAAATACAAGATGTTTCAAATTTTATTAACGTAATTTAAAAATTTTAATTTAAAAAATTTTTTAAACAAAATAAATGCCAAGAATTGAAATTTTAAAATAAAATTAGCCATTAATGGAATGTCTAAAGGATCTTTAATTAGAATGATTTAAAAAATAAATTATTCATCCTTCTAGAAAATCGTAAATCAAAATATTGAAAAAAACGTTAAACTATTTAAAAAATTCCAAAAGAGTAGATTGACTAATGAATTAAATTCAGTCAGAAAAAAATGAAAAAATAAACAATTTTTAAAAAAAATATAGAAATTTAAATTTCGGGGATTTTTTTTGATGAGGTTTCCCGAAAGGAACTTGGAATATCGTTTTGTTTTAAAGAGGTTTCGATTGGAATGAATTTAAACTTTGAAAAAATTTAAGTCATAATCATTCTCAAAATTTTAAATTTTTTTCCCGGCCAAAAAATAGAAAAAAACCCAAAAATTTCTAAAAGAAATTTCCAAATCCCTTCATAAGACATTTTCCCTTAAATCCGGAACAGAAAGAAATCCGTATATTCCGACATATACAAAAAATAAGAAAAAATGTATATCAAAAATAAATGAATTTTGCTTTAAGTTTTAAAACAAACGGGATTAGATATAAAAAAATATATATATAAAAAAAAAACAGATATAACCGATCCGTCGCTCAAATGTTTTGAATTTATAAAGTTAAAAATTTAATTTTAAAACGTGGAAGAAAAAAATTTTATAAAAAATTATTTAAACAATTTGTCGAAGGATCGTTTACGTACAGAAGGGTTTTGAATATCAGAATTACCATTAAACAGAATGGGTCGACAGGGTTTCGATTTTTTTAAAACTTAATATTATAATTTAAAATTAATAATAAAAAAAAAAATTTTTTTTCTATCAAACAAAAAAATGGAAAGAAAAAAAACAATAAAAATTTATTGATAATAAAAATATAAAAAGAAATTAATAAATTTATTCAGGTTATATATAAATAAGAAATTTTTTGCAAATAAATATGGGTTATTAAAAAAAAAAAAGAAACAAAAAATAAAACAAGGCAGGTATTTAAACTTTTGTCAAAAAAATAAGATTTTATGAAATTTAAAATAAAATTTAGAACAATCATTATAAATAATATATATATAAAATTGGAGATATAAAATAAATATATATATAAATGACATTTTGAGAAGATATACATAAGAAAATATTTTATTTGATCAATTAAAAAAATATCAAAAACAAGGATTGAAATAAAAATCTCAAAATGTGGTACATGAGGTCAAAGAATTCATTTAAAAATTGGATTCAAAAAATGACTTTCAAAAGGCAATAGTTTAGGTAATGAAACATTTGAATTATATTCAATTCCTGTTAAAAAAAAAAGATTATGTTTTTTTATTAAATGGACATTAAGTCATTTCTTTATTGCGCACTCCCAGAGAATCCATTAGTGAGAAAAATTTATAACATACTTCTTCCCCAAAATATTTATATAAAATAGGATATATTCAAATCATAATACAAATAACCTGTTAAATCTAGAGTTGTCATTATCTTCCGAAATGGATATGCGTATAAAATTTATTCTTTATATGTAATTTATACCTCGATTTGGAATAAATAATATAAAAAAATTTAAAAAAATGAAATAAAATGACGTAAAAAGACAAATTGAATACAATATTAAACCTCTTTTAAAAATGCCAGAGAAAAATTGATAATAAAAAAAAAATTGCAATATGAGCTCTGGGTAAAAAACATGGCATGATAACATAAAAATTTAAAAATATGAGCAGTGTAAAAAACGGTACTGAAGACATTAGGTATATAATACCCAGAAATTCATATACAGATGTCCTCAAGGCATGGCACAGTGGATAAAAGGCGTTTGTTAGATCCAGTGACAGGAACCAAAAAGTATGAGTTCAATACCCGTTTAAGCAAAAGTGGAGAAATTTTGAAAGGGAATTAAAGGAGATAACTGATAATTGACATCCATTAAACGTGGAACTAGAAGAATAGAGCGGAATTAAAGGTTCAGTTGAACATTGCAAATGAACTTGAATTATGCCGGAGCGTACAGGGACCGAAACGCTATAATAAATATGGCGAATTTGAGGTTTTACAATTTAATAAAATAAAAATAGTGAAATTTTTTTTATTTTTAAAGTTTTAAAAAATCGAATGAAGTCAATGAATGTGTCAAAAAAATTGAATCAGCGAATTGAAATAAAATGGCGGAAGACAGAAAGCAGAGAATGTGGTTCATTAATTTCAAAATTAGAAATAAAATGGTTTTTATTTTCACCTATGAAATCGAATGAACGACCGAAAATATTGATGAAATGAAAAGATCATTAATTTCAAAATTAGAAATAAAATTGTTTTTATTTAATTTTTTTTTAAGCGTTTCATCCCAAGCAAGGCGGGAAGCCACTAGGATGCAGGGGGTTACAGAAAATTTGGAGCAAGATCAGATAGGAGTGATAGAGGAAAGGATGAGGAGAAGGATAGTGGATAGATCAAGTCAACTGGAGATGTCGATTGACATTACATTTGAATAGCTGGAGATTATAGCTCTCAGGGAAACTGGAATAGGGTAGGGAGTTCCACAGGCGAGAGTTGCGAGACATGAAGCTATTGGAGTAGAAGAGACGGCTACATTTAGGAGTTTCAACAGTGAAAGGGTGAGAGCGGGATGCCAGCCTCGTAGGGCGCTTGAATTCATGAAGTCTGAGAACCAGCGAATGCAGCTCCTCGGAGCAATTGCCATGAAAGTATTTGTAAAACAGACAGAGAGGGGCGACGGCGCGTCTGTGAGAAAGTGACTGTAGACGAGATGCCAGATCAGGGCCAATTATATTGCATATCCGCCTCTGGAGCCTATCAAGAACCCTGAGGCAAACAGAAGGGCTCCAGACCATATATGGCAGCAATACTCCATGCAAGGGCGAATTGTTGATTTGTAGATCTGGAGGATCGATTCCGGGGAAAAAATTTCCTGGCGCGGCACAGGGAGCCAACTTTCCTTGAGGTGGACGAAGCAATTGACTCAATGTATTTGTTCCATCTCAGGTCAGCTGTCAACGTTAGACCGAGCAGCCGCAGAGAAGTGCTCTCGAGAAGTTGAGCGTCAGACATTCTAATGGAGGTCAGGGAAGGATCTCTGTGGTGATTAATAGAGAGCAGTTTTGTTTTTGAAGCATTAAAGTTGACCAGCCAATTTCTGCCCCAGTTCACAACCGATTGATTGTGATATTGGAACGCTCACCCGTTGCATCTTCCGTTACGTCAACTAATGCTTCCTGTCATTTCCGAAATCCTCGTTGTAGTTGAGACATCGTAACGCAGGTACTAGTAGTATTAACTCCTGTGAGTAATATTCGCGCTAATAATACTTGTTCAAATAGTAATCGCCGAATAGTATGAATGATCAATATAGAGAAGAGAACAGCGTAGGAATAGTGGTCCGTATAGTAATAGAGGATAGTGTAGAAATGATGATCCGTGCTAGTGTAGTTAGTCGTGAACTCGTAGACGTTACGCTACTTCCAATTTATGCATTTCCTTATAACCACGTGATCTACTTAATTACATAATAGAATCGCCCGCGTTTGCTCACTGCCGATCTACGTTCAAACTACAGCGTCGATAACGACACTTTACTCCTATACAACAATTTTCACTTATAAAATCGAATGAACGACGCAAAACTTCGGTAAAGTGAAAAATGTCAGAACATAGTATATGGTAAAAAAAAAATATAAAGAATAAAATATAATGTCCGTTAATTTTACTTACAAAATCGAATGAGCATTTTGGATGAGGCAAAACTTTTCTGAAATTAAATATGGCAGAAGTTTGTGGAAGAAAAGAGCGACATTGTTGTTCATTAATTTTAAGATTAGAAATAAAATATCTTTTAGTTTTACTTACAAAATCGAATGAACGTTTTAGACAATTCGAAAAACTAACTGAAATTATAGATAATAGAACACTGTGAAACAAGATGGCGAATATGTTTTTGAATAAAGTTAACGTTGAAAATAAAATAAAATTTAATTTTACTGAATAAATCGAGCAAAATCATATGGCTTAATTCTAAAATCTTAGAATAATTGAATTGGAACTGATTTGCTTTTTCATTAAATTGTCGTTCGAATATAAGTTAGAAGTGAATTTGGACTTGTATTCGTCTATTCAAACGCCAGAATCATCAGACACCTCGTAAAAAGTCGACGTCATTCCATATTAGACGAGTTTATTAATCCGTACTCGACGGAAAAGAATGCTCAAAGCTTTATTTAGTTGAACATAACATTGTTAGAATTTTACCTACAAAGACTGATCAAACTTTAGAAACCTGCAATTTCATTTAATTTAAAACAGTTTAATAAAAACAAAACAAAAAATAATAATAATAAAATTTTAAATAAACATTTAAACCTAAATAAAAAATAAGGTTAATTCCAAAACGGAATAATGAAGTATGTAATTGTATTTTTACCAGTGCTCATATTGCAATTTTTTGTTGTTATTATTATTACTTATTTTTTTCTACCAGAGCTTATATTGCAATAGTTGTTGTTGTTCATTGATTTCTCTAACACTCCTTATTACTGATTTTCCTTAATGTATTCATTTATTTGCTTGGTGGCAGAGACAGATAACCCTTTTTTTTTCTTCTTTTTTTTTTTTTGTTGTTGTAGAAAATTCAGTTAAACGAAAATATGATTGAAACAGCTTCATGTTTAAGGTTTTTTTTTTTAAAGTAAGTTTTACTCTGTACCAGACCTGAGGACAACTCGAGGTAGAGGGTTACGTTAAGGTGTAGGTTATACGGATAGGAGGGGAAGATAACGGTTAGCTCTAGACTTGAAAAGGTTAAGATTGTAGTAATTGGGGAAGCACCCTCTTGGGAGTCTGTTTTACAGAGTAGTGGTTCACAGGAAGAAACTGATCAAGTGGAATTTCTCAACGATTGAATACAGAGGTGTTGTTCATGATGACGGTCGTTTCCTGATGGAATAAAAGATAAGGAAAAGCAGGAAATCGTTTGGCGATTGAATAATGATTCTAATAATTCATATAAATAATTTGTCAAAAACGTCTGTGAATTTGACTATGCCTCATATTGAATATCCAATTTAGCTGAAAGGTGGCGAGATGTCATATGATGCCAGGGAAAATATTATTATGACTTAATAATGATTCTACGAATTGTTGTTCATGATGACGGTCGTCTTCGAATATAGAATCCAGAGGTTAGCAGTGAATATTTCGAAGACAGTAGGGAAGCGTTGTTCAGGTTAGCAGTGGATATCTCGGTAAAGTAGCAGAGCATAGTTCAGTAGTTCTCCCCTTCTGTTCCTCTTCGCCTGACAAGTTGGAACTGGACATTCGGAGAGAGTAAACAAAATGGCCGCCTTTATACACGACGGATTGAATATTCTACGTCTTCTGATTGGTGAACCTTCTATTGGTGGACTATAAAGTGAGTCAAGTCATTTTGTCTGGCTCACTAGTTACACAAAAAACTGCAATAAGTGGGAATGTTGGTGGTTTGATAAAAATGTAAGTAGCATGGAGGGGTCTAGCCGTAAAGCTTAGAACTGGCGGAAATAACGAATGTACTTCGTCCCAGTACTCTCCATGGAAATAACGATAGAGCAATAATACCGTCACCACATCATGCGTTGGAGAGAGGGGTTGGGGGTCGGAAAATAATTTGTCACCCACATTGTGGCCGTCTCCATAGTTGATGTTATTGAGTGTTTGCTTTTTTTTTTTTATTAGTAATGATTTCATTTTTTTCTTTTTTTACGTGTGGTTGGAGACATTCATGATCTGATTTGTACAAAAAAGGTTAATAAAAAAAAAGCCAAGGAAAAATAACATCAAAAAACACAACCAAAAAATATTGTCCGTGTTTTTTGAAATATTACCATTTATAACTTTACATACATACATAAAGCAATCATTAGTTTCAGTTGAATGTAAAAATAAATTCATCCTTGATGATGACTAAAACTATAGGTGAAAGCTTTAGAATACAAAAATAACAAGGAAATTACAAGGAAATTTAAATATAATATTTAACGGCAGTACTTTTGAAAAAATCAGAAAATGAATATATTATATATATATATATATATATATATATATATATATTTAGAGAGAGAGAGAGAGAGAGAGAGAAGAAGAAGAAGAAGAATAAAAAGAAAAGAAATTTATCGGTGAGGGAATAATTTTTTAATCCAGTCGCACATGTCCTTAAGGTGAATTTCCTAATATGTATGCAAGTAGTCAAGACTTCGGATTTCTGGTTTAAAAGGTTCTTTGGATCCGGAAATGTCATAATTGCTAATTTTTCCTGTTAGCAGAGATTGCTAATATTGTTGTTGCTGTTATAAGGCTTCTTTTTTTTTACATAACATAGCGTTCATTAGTTAAAAAAAAAAAACAAAAAAAAACATAACGCATTAAGAGATCGTTTGGTACAAATCTCCTGCGGATACTGTAAGATTAAAACCAAAGTCGCGAATTCAACTGATCTCTTGATTTTTAAAGTTAAAAGCTCTACATGTTATTTTTACTTTTATTTTTTCACATAAGCACTTTTTAATACCACCATTTCCTAGTCTGATTCAACTCTAACCATTAACATTTCATATATATATATATATATATATATATATATTTGGTATTCCGTACGAAATTTCCAAAAGGGAAATCCAGAGAGCACCATGTTTAAAGCTGTGCAAATACTAATTATTATAATGAAAATGAACAAAAAAACATGGTGATATTTATTTCGTTAGAATCGAAGATTCAATTCAAACTCATCAGTATGGATCGAATTTTCGATCAACGAAATAAATAAAACAAAAGTCTTAAATGTTCGTTTAATATATATATATATATATATATATATATATATATATATATATATATATATATATATTTAAGTTATGAAGAACTTGGTAATCCGTATGGGTAATCCCAAGGAGGATGAAATCCTGAGAGTTCAAAGTAAATCTAGAGCTAATATTTAAAAGAAAAACAGACCCCTTTAAGGTTCCATTATAATAATTTATTTCACCAGGCCCCTTTTCAAGGACACCAGATCATCAGATAGCACTTCCAAAAATGAAATGAAACGAAAAATGAAATTAAAATTGATGGGTAGTGTAAGTTTTTGTAATTTAACAGAGAGTGTAAAAGGAGTAGTTAAAGAGACATGGTAGAGTATAGGGAGGGATTAATTTCATATCTCTCTCAAGTATATTTTGTATTGGGGGAGGAGGAGTGACCAGACCTTACCTATTTAGACAGTTAAATTAACGGAAGGGATATACTGAAATGGGAGGGCGTAGGGAGAAATGAAAAAGGAAAAAAAAGAATATATATATATATATATATATATATATATATATATATATATATATATATATTATTAGGATAAAGAACAAGTAGGAAACAGATCTTAATCTAACATGTTTCACTTTATTAAAGCTTCGTCAGAAATAAAAAAAAATGATAAAAACGCAGATTATAGTATGTTGCGTTTTTTTTTATTTCTTATTGGTTAGAAACGTGTCACGTGTAATGAAGTAACTAAAGTATATGCGACAAATATTTTTGTCGCTAAAGTGTGTAAAAGTGAAATTCAATATTATGTTTTGATTGGATACGTGTCACGTGTATTGAAGTAGCATAATATTCAAATAAATGTATATATTTTGTATATATCTTCATTGATTTTTATTATTCAGAGGCGATAAATTAGATTCATGAATCATAGATCTTTAGTAAAATGAAGTAAACTTTTGGGTTTTTTTTTTTAAAACCTGTGTTAGTATTGTATTTGGTAATATTGCCATAAATATATATTTTCATAATATTTTCTCTTTAAAGGGTTATGTTCTTTTTTTAATAAGGCTGGCATTGGCAAAATTAAAATTATGTCCTACGTCGTTGCGGTGTAAGACGAGAGAATTTAAATCTTTATCTAAACGCAAATCTCTTTTGTGTTCCTGGATGTTTGTCTTTAAATCGCACGTCGTCTCCCCCAATGCACTGTTGACATTTGATTTGATAAACTCCAGCATTCCAATTGTTATTTATTTTTCATCCCGATCATATCTACGACAGTTTTGGGGGTGGTTGTAACAATCACCATATTAGGGATGATTAATTCATTTGCGAGTGTAGTTGAAGTATTGGAGCGTAGGATTATGAATTTTGTATAATTTCTTCTGGAAGTATTCGTATGTTTGTTTTTATGGATTTTGTGAGCACTTTTTTGCGTTTAAGATGAAATGGTATGGACAGAGTAGAAGTTTGAATGTTTTCTCAATATAATCCTCTTCTTCATTAATGTATTCAGGGCTACATATTCTAAGGGCTCTAAAATGTAAAATTTCCAATTGTCAATATATATATATATATATATATATATATATATATGGATTTTATTTTCCTTTGGGTTTACCCATACGGATTACCTAGTTTTTCATAAACTATATATATATATATATATATATATATATATATATATATATATATATAAATAAATAGGAAAAAGAACACGTTAGGTAAATAATCCGGAATTTTTTAGTATTTTTGTTTTTATTTAAAAAACAAAAAAACAAAACAGTGTTCCATACAGAAGTAGAGCTTAAATTATAATTATTTTTCAAAAAACATGATTCCTTCGCTACATAAGAGTTCTCATGTTTCAAAAACGAGAGCCGAAAACCTCAATATAATTATTAAAATTAAATTGAGTTAAAGTATCAAGCCCTGTTTCACCCTCAAGCGAAAATTTAGGAATAATCAATCTTGAAATTTATGCATCTTTATAAGCATGTTCATTCGCAAAATTAATTACTATGGAAACGACCGGGGCGACTATTTTGATAAGGGGCCTAAGAGTTAATTTTTATCCACATATCAGTCACCTTCGGAAAAAGGTCAAGCCGAGGTAGTGTTGGGGTACCCATTTGAAAGCGAATGATGGTATTCATGTGCGCACATCGTCCGGTCAGTCACAGCGAAAGATAGCTTTTGGCACCATAATATGTTGTTAAATGTCTAGAGAATTTTGTTTTATTTTATTTATTTACTTTTTTTATCCTTTTATTTATTTTTTCTAAAGGGGTGTTTCGTACTGAACTACAATTTGTTTGTTGTTTTTTTTTTTTTTGACGACTTCTTAAAGGGTTTTTCTATCTTATGATTGG